TGCATACTCTTAGGACAATGGATTGACCTTTAGGGAAAACTGTCGGTTTGACTCAAAGCCATCGACGAGGGCTAAAATGTGACCACGAGTGAAATTCTCTTTATATGAGCTCTATTACGAACAAAAATTTCCTCCGACGACCCCCCTTGAAATTTTGTGAGGTGGTAGGAGAACGCTTTGGGGTGTCACAAAAAACTCGGCATATGTGTGAAAACTTTATAAAGGGGTCAAAACTGACCAGTTGTATTTCCCTATATAATCTTTGTATTTTATGGGGAAAACAGGGTAAATTCTACGCAAATTTTAGGGTACTTACTCTTTGTATAACTGGCTAATTTTTTGCATACACCTCTATAGATGACTGGGCCGAATGGAAAAACTGTTGGTCAGCATCAAAGCCCTCGAAGAGGGCTAAAAATAACTGCGAGTAAAATTCTCATTATACGAGATTTGGTCATTTGGTCTATGAGCAGGGGAGGTAACTTTTTAATGTAACAATTGTTTAATATTTTGTATACTCTTTTTAAGAAAAATTAAAACTCATAAAGTATAGCATTATTTAAAATGGATATTTTGTTATAAATTAAGTTTTTTATTGTATTGAAATTGTGAAATTAATTGCAAAAGTAATTTAATATAATATTTGGTTGATAATTTTTTATGAAAGCCCTTTTAGTTTTAATAACCTTGCGAGTAATAAGTTTGCGAATATTCCATCAATTTATGGGTACAAAAAAATACCTCACTGTATAAATTTAGGCCCTAAGCATTTAACATAACAGCATACATTTTTAAACATTCATACAGATTGTACTATAAGAGTTTAAAACAAGAATGCATAAGTTAAATTTCAAGGATTAGGATAGGATACAGTTTTAGAACCTAATATTTTTCACTTTTTAAAGTTCTTGCTTAATATCTGTGCACTACATTTAGTAAGCGTGACTGGTTTGTTTTTCATGTTTTGTTGAATGCAGTTTATTTTGTATGCATCCTCGAATGAAGATAAATAAGAAAAATAAAAAACATTTTTGATCAAAAAAAAAAAAAAAAAGCATTTAACATAACAGCCAACCACCTATAAATTAATCATTCAATTTCTAAACTGTTTTGAAAACCTAAGCGAAGCTAGGCAGTATGCCTAGTAGATATATATATATATATATATATATATATATATATATATATATATATATATATATATATATATATATTTATATATATATATATATATATATATATATATATATATATATATATGTATATATATATATATGTATATATATATATATATATATATATATATATATATATATATATATATATATATATATATATATATATATATATATATATATATATATATATATATATATATATATATATATACTACAACCAAAAACAATGAACGTAACAATCTGTTTTGTAATTCTTGTAAAAAAATTTCTTACATAATAATTCCTGGGAAATTATTTAAGACAAGTGAAATAGGGGAAATAATCACTCTCTTAATATAAATATGTATATATCTACACATTTAATTATAAATTTCAAAACAAATAAAAAATTACTTTAGAATATAATAAGATTGTTTAACACTATTCGTGTGTACAAAATGTTTTTGTCTATAATCAGAATTTAATATACCGTCCTCATAAATGCTAAAGTATTACAGCATAATGAAAGTTTTTAAAATCAGAATTGGTATAAAAACACGCTTTCGATATATTAGTAAAACATTCGGAGTAAGAGCCTACATTTAACTAAACATCGGTGTTTTAGTTCAGATCATATATTTTAATTAACTACTGCTTCTTTGTGTTCTAATGGTTTAAATCACTGTATTGATAACACACCTTTTTACTGGTAATTGCAAAAACAATATTCCCAGAGTTTTAGGTTCAAAAAGCTAATTTTCTGGCGGCAATGTACTTTGGTACATCATTACGCGTTTTTCTACATGTACTTAACAGATCAGTTCGGGGTTCGATTCAAACTGTATATATATAAAGTAATTATGTGTGAAGTTTTATGTATACTATTTTCTAATTCAATTATTCTTAAGCAAATACATTATACAGTTGCCTTAAACTTAACACCCCTCTTGCCAAGTGGTAATATCGTAGAGGTTTTTTAAACATTGCAATGCATCGTAATGGTTATTTTTAGAATGGCAAACTGATGCAGCTGTTAATACGTGTTGGAAACGTAGACACTACTAGACTAGTACAATAATTCTTAATTGCTACATGAAAAGAAATCTTGTGATTTACATAGATGTGCCGACCAAAAATTTTTTTTTTTAACAAATATCAGTGTTTAAAACTTTGAATTTAAAAAGTTTCCAAAAAGGCGCCACTTTGCTAAGATGCCAGAGGGGGAGCGGCCACTCCCCCTGCTCCCCCCTGCGTACGCTACTGGGTATCACAAAAAACTCGCCATGTCCGGGAAAAATCGGGAAATGGGTCAAAACTAACCAGTCATTTTTCCCAATATAATCTTTGTATTTTATGGGAAAAACAGAGGGTGATTTCAACAAAGATTTTAGGGTACTTAACCTCGATACTTTTGGCTAATTGTTTGCATGCTCATAGGTAAATGGCTATGCCGAATGGTCAAGATGTCGGATTGACTCAAAGCCCTCGACGAGGTCTAAAAAGTGACCATGAGTGACATTCTCCGTACATAAGCTATATAAAAAAATGCCGAACGATCCCCCTGATATTTTGTGAGGTCGTAATCCGACCCTGGAGAGTAACAAAACATAACTTTATTCCCGTCAGAAAAAAACACACACATTTCAGTTGTTAAATATGTCCAGATGTTGTATTTCTTTATATAAGCATAGCAAAAAGTAAGCAAATACTATGCCATTCGTTCAATTTACAAATAAGGTAACATTTCAAAATATTATTTTTAAAAAACTATTTTATACTATTTTAAACACAAACAGAAAATGACGAAGTATAGCGTTCATTTGAGTAAGGTTTGTGTTATAAATTAAAGTATTATCCTAATTAAATTATAGAAATTCATTTTGAAAGTCAATATAATATAAATTTTAAGTTAAACTATTTAGGGAACCTTTGTAGTTCTAATTACCTTTTTGATTAATAGATTTCGAACATTCCATTAATGACTCTAAAATTAGCATTACTGTTTAATAAACATAAGCACTCCACAAATCAGCCAATCCCTAATTAATTAAGCATTCAAATTGTTATATGTTTTATGAAAACCTTAGCGAAGCTAGGCAGTATTCCTAGTCTATATATATATAAAGCAAAGTAGTCAAGTGCCCGACAGGGTACTTCCAGGTGCCGTAGGCGCTTCAAATTTGGCATTTGTCTGCCTTGGGGCAAAAGAACACGAGAGCCAGTGCCGGTTGGCCAACAAGTCCATGAAGAAGGGTCAAAACTGGCCTCGCCTGACAAGCGACTTATATGGGCTATATTAAGAAAAAAAGTTTGCCCCACGACCCCCCTTGAAATTTTGTGAGGTGGTAGGAGAACGCCTAGGGGTGGAACAAAAACTCGCCATGTCTGGGAAAAATCGGGAAATGGGTAAAAACTGACCAGTCGTATTTCCCTATATAATCTTTGTATTTTATTGGAAAAACAGAGGGTAATTTCAACAAAGATTATTTAATTGTCCTTGAGTGGTCTGTGGTGCAATTCAGAGAAATTTCCCATCACGCAATGTGATGAAATTCACCAATAATTTCGATTGGTTGATTCGTAATTTGTCGACTTCCTACCCAATAGTCTTTTAACTTTGAGGTGGAAATCCCATAATTCTGGGGCCACATAAATATCAGGATTTGTCCTCTCTTGTGGCAGATGACCAGACATTTACAGAGAGAGAATGCCATGTACGACGCCATGTTGTATCTCATAAGTTAAGCAGCATTTTTCCCTAATTACCTGTGCATTCAGTATTTTTCTGTGCCTCAATTTAAAATTTAGTAAGTTGTGTTGATTACTTAAGTACCTTACCCAGTGTTAGTAGTTTCAGTGTGTTATTCTTTAACTCGTAAGTTGGGTCTTTCATTATTTGTATATGCCTATTATTTTACAGAATGTTTATTATTTGGACATTTATACAAATTAACAGGTTATGATTTGATTAAAAGTATTATTAGTTGCAGAAGGTCTTCGTGTTTTTACCCTAGACATTAGAAACGAGTTCATAGAGAGTTTTTGTTGTCTGGTAATCTTTTAGTTTCGCAAATCATCAGTCTACAACCATCCAAAAGAATTCGCGTCGTGTCTCATTTCACCAGTGGTAGTGAAGCGCCGTAATACTGTGATCTGCTGTGATGTGTTTATTTTTTGCTGGGCAGTTATGTCTGAGCAGCTTGTACACCCTGACGACACCCAGAGATATACCAGCGAGAGTATACATTTCTGGTAGGCTCAAAACAATAAGAAACATCAATGTTGTCACTTTGTAGTTCTATGCTAATGACAGTGTAACAATTTTATCTCTATCTCTAAAGCCTAATAGATCTTCCATAGTGGTGTATGCTGTCTGATTTTGTCTGTAAATCAAATGTGGAATTGAAATGTCAGTTTCACTCTATCTTGCATGTTGGTCTAAAAATGTATTTAACCATAATCTTCTAAAGTTGACCATCATACTGAATTCTGTTAGCCATATCATTGACCAAAGGCTATTGTTTTGTAGTTTGTAAAGAAACACTTGTGGATGACTTGTCAAGCTACCATATAAACTTCTTTATTTAAAAAGTCAAAATATTTTAACTATTACAGAGTAACTCTTGGCTGCTGAATGTGATGTGAAGGTCAAGGTTATTTCAACCAAACAGCTGCCACAGATGACCATAAGACTACAGTAAAGGCCAGTAGAGATCTGCCACATCAAGTTACAGGTAAGTTTGTTAATTATCTTTTAACTTAATCAAGTGTACAGCCATGGTTTAATGCTGATGTAGACAATGTGTCAATCTTTGAGTTGTGGTTTATTTAACAAGAATTAACTTGGATAGTCTAGATGACCACAACAGTATGGCCAGTTTAGAGGATAGTCTAGATGACCAAAACAGTATGGCCAATGGAGAGGACATCTCATTGTATTTTACAGGTAATTTTCGTTTGTTTGCAAATATATTAAAAAGGTGTCTACCTGCATGCATAAATGTTTAGTGCTAATGTTGGAACATTCTGTAGTTTACTGGATGAGTATCGTAATATGGTGGTGGTTGAGATGGTTGTGACCGTTGGAGGTTTTAGGTAAGTACCTTGTTTTAATTCTGTCTAACTTTAACAGTTAATGAAATGTTTACAGTAATTAAATTGTTTTGTTTAACTTTGTAGGTACACATGAAGTACAAGAATGTCTTGAAGGTCAATGTGAGATAGATCTACACACACACGTAACAAATTGCAAAAAAAATCCTGGACATAAAGATTTTGTACCTTTAAATCAATTAAACGTTGAGCATTTTCTCGGTTACCAAGACAACGATGTGTATGACCTCACAAAAGCCATTGCTGACCTAACTGTCAGGATAGCCGTTAAATTTACCAGTCCAGACAGACCAGATTTTGCACCAGGCAGTGAAGATCCATATCCTTGCTACAACACCAGGGGACAGAACTCACTGAGGACAGGGACTGGGAGGGTGTGTCAGGTGACCAAGTACACAGAGGGAATGTACGGCCACAGAACTTGTCCATGTCCTGAATGTGACCACTCGGATACGCCCAGTAAAGTGTGGTGGGAGGTTGGTGTGTGGACAGCTACACATGTGGTTTTTGATGAGAGTGAGGCAAGACAGTCCAGCTGTAGGTTGTGGTTTGATGATGATAAAAGTCCAGTGGTCAAGATTTGTGGGTGGAAGGTGGGTGGTTCTTACATAGACAGAGATTGGTGTAGGTTTTATTGTGTGACACATGACGTAGATGTAGCTGATAAACTGGAGGAGATGGTAAGGCAGTTTAATGTTCTGCGTGATAAAGTAAGTGACAAATACAAAAGTAGAGGAGATGTGGACAAGCTGACCATTATAGTGTCACATCCCCATGGCTGTTCTAAGCAGGTCTCTGTAGGTCACTGGGTCGACAGGCAGGTGGTGCGACAGGACGGAACCAGGTACACGTACACAACTTCTACCTGTCCAGGTAGCAGTGGGGCTGTGGTCTACAGATTGGGGTGTTACTGGTCTTTTGGTCATCCCCACAGTGGAGCTAACTCTGGTGGATTAAATTACAGTGGGGTGTGGGTGGACAGAGACTTGTAGTTGTCTGCTCTTGTATAGAATGTAAACCAATATGGTTATTTTGATAAAAATGTTTGTTTGATTAAGAGTAAAAGAAAGATTTCTGTGTCAAAATTATTTGTAAATATAAATCCGAATAAACAATCGTACAAAAATGCATTTTTAAACTCTTTTTTATTTTTACCCATTTTGGTAGAAGCAACTCTCAGTATTGACGCTAAAATAAGGATTTAGAAACTCTCGTTTTCTATTTATCCATCCATGCATCTATCCATCCATCCCACCAGCCATCTCTCTGTCTATCTCTCTGTCTGTTTGTTTGTTCGTCCATGCATCATTATATAAATGTATACACTACTAAAGCTGACGAGTAGAAGAGGCTTGGGTGGATAGTGCCCCTGCATCCATTTCGAGGGAGCATCCAATTCGTGTTAGAGTTGTTCCATTCAGTCGAGGATTAGGAAGAAGTGATTTGAGATACATATATCTGTGTGTGTGAGAGTGTATATCGACCTACATAGAATTATAATTTAAATATATGCAACAAAAGCGTACGTGTATGTTTAAAGCTATAATTGCTACAGACGTAATAGTAACGATAATTATGTATAGTCGGTCAATAATATATGTAGATGTAGCAATGTTTTCTCTAAAGTTAGCATGTTCAAATAATGGTGTCATCCCAACCTCTTTGTAATAATTGTCAATTTGTACTTAAAAGACTATATTTTTTAACTAATTATTAATTGAATTGGCTAAAAAAGGAATTTTGTTTCTTATGTACATTTGGCAATTGTTTTCCTTGGTCTTAGCACCCTAAATGGTGTCACTCGGTGCGGCCCTCACCCAACGCCCCGCCTCGCTACGGCTCTGCTACTGACAAAACTCTAATGGAGCTACGTGTAAGGGTAATTAAAGTGTCATGAATGTGTTGCACTTATTAAAACTTAGAATTAAATTGTGAGTTAATTCATTCCATCCCATACGTTTAGACATTATGCTCTATGGGAGATAAGAGAAGCACATGAAATTTCCCCGGGGGTAGGGCAATTGTTATATTGTGTATCTGCTATTGAAATTTATTATTTAAGACTCGACCGAGAGAGAGGACGAGTTGTGCAGAAACAGTGCCATGTTTCTATTGTAACACCACCTCAGTGGAGATAAGGTGTTAGGGTCACCCTCTGAGGTTTAGAGTGTTTACAAGCTGACCCTGATAGACAAAATAAGCAACGCTACTTGTTTCTGGATCAGCTTTATTACTTGATACAGACTTCCTTAGGAATTCAGTTTTAAATTTGCTCTGAAATGATGTAATCAAAATATATACTTGTTTATAAAATACCACGTGTAGGCCACATAAAGTATAAGTGATCTTCCCTAAACTTTCTCGAATTTTCTTATATAACACTAGGCGGGATACAACTCGGGATATAGACAATATTAATAATCAATTTTTATATATTTTTTAATTTTAAAAATATAATAGAATCGCGTAGAAAAAAGAATTTTGCACCATGAGAACGCCAAACAAAACGTTTAGAATAGTGCGGAATATTATCAGTTCTTTATAAATTCATATGTGTTTTTTTTTTTGAGAAAACGGAAATAGCGTAAATTACTACTTCCAGTCAACGGAACTTTTTCAAAATTTAAAAAAAGGCAGAAAATTAGATCTTTTACCTACATGTGAAAGTTTATTTATCTATCTGAAATAGTACTGAAGTTATAGGCATTTGAAAAATTGATAGTAGAAAAAGTTCCACTTCAGGTTATCGGAAATCGCTGACAAGTTAAAACATATCTATAAATTCGATCAAATACTTATATATGATATTAAATCAATTTTATCAACCTTGCTGTAACGGTACCCAAGTTATTGTGATTACACACACACAAACACACACACACACACGAACCGCATTTGTCAGTTAGAAGTACCTGTAATTTCGCTCCGGCGTTTCGATCTAGACTGACTACAGACTGACGACTGACTACAGAGGAAGTTAAATAAAAGCTTGTAAAAAAGGGTAGTGTAGAATATTTAATGCCTGATATAGTTCAGTAAAAATCTCATTTATTTATTGTGTAATCTTAAATCTTTAATAGAGTTTAATAATTGAGTTTAATAATACAGTTTAATAATAGAGTTTAGTAATCTTAAACCTAGAATCGATTTTTTCCAATCGAATCGACATAACGCAGAACTTACAAATGGCTCAAATCTATTTTTAATTAAATTTTAATTAAATTATATCCTAATTTAACCCTTTTCCATAGTTAATAAGGAAAGACTAGTGTGAAATATTTAAAAGCCTGAAACATTTTAGTAAAAAAGTAAAAAAACTAAGCTATTTATTGTGTAATCTTAAATATTTAGAGTCGAATTTTAAGCCTATTTATCGCCTGTATTATCGAATTAGATAGATAATAATAGAATTGCAACCTAATAGAAATAACAAAAAGCTACATCATTAAAGCTATAGCCAAAAGCTAAGATAACGCTTTAAACTTTGCAAATAACAAACTATAACACATCTGTTTTTTTTTATGCGCAGCAGGCTCGTGCAGTGATGTCGTTCAATAATGTTTAAAGTTGAATTCGGCTTCTTAAAAACTGTCCTTATATATAATATTTTTATTAAAAATGTAAATATATATTTTATTTGAGCAATTGAAAAATATACTCTGTTAATTCAAAAAATAGAAGATGTAGATGGAAAGTAGGTAATTCGTAATTTCTAAGAGAAAAAAAACATGTAAAAATTACAACACGGAAAAGGTTTATTTTTTTACTTTAAAGCAACCTTAAAGGTATAGTTCTGCAGACATTCTATTTGTAGAGGTAAAATGACCTCCATTTTGTTCAAATGTTGTCAAATTACACATTCATTGCTCGTTTCTAAAAGCTAATATGTAATAACATATTGAGTGTATAGGAAATATGTATGCTCGATCCATTCCAATACAAAAAATTAAGAACGAAGAAGAAGAAGACTTCGTTACACAACTGGTGTGTGCGTTGTTGATGATATAATTCTACTAGTTGAACTTTATTAGGTAGTTATTAAGGGCTTTGTTAATTATATAATTTTATCGGTAATTATTTACATTTAAATTATTGTTTAAGAGTTTAGCCACGATATTTTAAGTAGTTTCATTCAAGCAAATAATTTCTCTGTATTAAATTTCCAGTAAGTCAATGGATCACCTCCAATGATTGCTGAAATTACAATTAATTAACCTTGCATCGCTAGGTTTGATAATCGGTACTTTGGTTAATATAATTACTATTTCTATTTTCACAAATGGAAAATTATATTTTTTTTCTCACAAAAGACGACGATACTAAATGTATCGGTATTTAGTCTAAACAATTCCCGAGGATTCGAAGTCGATACTCATAACATATCGATAAAGTAATTGATATATTTTCCCGCCATTTGTAAGATGTGCAAAATGTACTTAAATAAAAAACACTTTATTTTAATTAATGTTCCATTAAATAAAACTGAAATTGAAGTTTATATATCAGTAATAAAATGTTTTGAAAATTGCTTACAAATAATTCTTTTTGTTTTTACACTCATTACTCAGTAGGCGATGCGTAGTAACAGAATCGATGGTAGCTTATAAAAGAAAACGCCGATACCTACTGAATGTAAGGTTTGCCAAATTGACAAACTTGCAAAAATTATTCTTTTAATTTTCAAGTTAATTAGAAGTAAATGCAATATGATGATATATATATAATTACTATAAATACATATTAAATACTTAATAATCGAATTACAACAAAGACAGAAGACATGTATTTACATAGCCTACTATTTAAGTTATTAGAAATGTTTTGAATATCATAGACGGAATAAAATATTGAATATAAGTTTTATATAAGGACATTAAAGTTTTACAAATCAGAAAATTGTTCTTAATAAAAAAAATATTTTGGAAATAATCAGCTATTATATCTTTTTTCAAAGTGTTAATTATGTATGTTTTATACTCACAAACGCGATTTAGTTTATACTTCCGGTAACTTATTTAGACTAAAATATTTCAGAATGAGGTGATCCATATCCATAGACATTATTTAATTTTGTCATTTAAATTATGTTAATGCCAAGATTATAATTTGGGGGATTTATTGTACTGTAAGCTCCACATTTGAATATAAGCTTTATAGGATGTAAAATTAAATTGGAGGAACCTCAAAAGCATTTGCTAGACAGAATAATACGATTACCACGGGGAGTGAACAACAGACAGACTCGGCGTGACAAAACTAGCCTGTAGGCTGACCTGTGACCAGGTTTGTTAGTGCCGTGGGGGGGGGGGGGGGGTCGATAATTTGTTAGTTCCCAATGTTGGGAATGTTGTCCCATAGGATTTTATATGGCAAGGTGACATAGATATAAAGACAGGCCAGTCACAGATTCGTTTGTCTGGCCAGTCACAGATTCGTTTGTCTGGTCAGTCACAGATTCGTTTGTCTGGTCAGTCACAGATTCGTTTGTTGGGCCAGTAAAGCATATTGCTGCTAAACTGAGTAGTTCCGAATTCAAACACCCGTGTACATGAGGCTCTATGTAGTCTGTCGTTTGACCTAATTCTTTTTATCGTTATTTCTGCGTATTATTCAACAATACTGATCTCGTTTTAATAATTGACGAAAAGTGCTTGATACAATCCTGCCATTTGTACATTTTGGGTCTAATCGCTGAGAATATCGAGCAGAATCATATACAGTAGGCAAAACTTTAATTACAGTATTTAATATTCTGAACTATAGAAAATTATATATTACGTCCTACTAAATTATTTTCATTAATTAAAAATAATATGGAGTTTAAAAAACCTTCCAAAAATAACTTTATCGAGATAACAACTAACTAAGCCCACCCATTTTGCCGTGTGTATTTGAATGGGAATAAATCTAGCAGACAACACATTTCTACTGTACATTGAATCGCGTCACAACAACAGTCCTTTAACCCTTTATCTACTGACGGTACTTATAAGTACCACTTTAATTAAATGCCTGTATTATTTTTAATTTAATACAAATTTTAAAAATTATTGAAGTAATTAATAGTATTATCTCCCCTGAGTCGCCGGTAGTCGGAGGTATCAATGTTTTTTGAAAATTACTGGTGTGGCGCCATTTTCAATGTCTTGCTATATCGGTAGTTCACAATTTTTCTGTACATTTCTCACATACGTTCTTGATTTCCCTTTGTTTTACCTTATTTTTCAAGTTTTCAACCCCAAATATTTTTTATTGGCAATTTCAATAGTCAGGCAAACGCATTTAACTTCTAGTTATACAATTTTTATCAAATTGTCTTTGTATTAGATCGATGTTTACAAGTGGACTTATAAGTACCGTCAGGGCACACGGTCATATTTTTAGGATTTTTAGAAAATGGCAGATTTTTTATGTGGAGTTACATAATTATTGTCTTGATAATTAATTATCGAAATGTACTCAAAAAATGATATTTACACATTTATAAGAAGTTTAGCATATGGTTTACCTAAGAAATATTGTAATTACATGTTAATTTCTAGTAGTAAAAAATAACAAGAATAAAGGTATCAGTTGCAGGCTCGTTTACAAGGTTTAGTTTACTTCATTTGTATACCAAAGCCTAGTTCTAGTTGTAAGATTTCATTTGTTAGTTATATTTACTGCACTAAACTGACTTGCCTACAAAAAACAAGCATATACGTAATGTATACATGTAGGCTAGTAATAGTCCATACTTCTGCATATAGTATAGATCAATATGGTAAATTTTAATCAGTAAACAGAAAGGAGTAGGCCACTACGGCTATCCTAAACACATTGAGCTCACTTCTATTTATGAACTTTGCACTGTAGTGTAGACTTGTCATAACATTCTAGTAGGGTACAATTATACTAGTATTACTTGTAGTTGCGTGCTGAATGACTAGGCTTTTGTTTGTTAATGCGGCTCATTGTACTAGCTATTGGAAGCTTCCAGCAAAATCATGTTCATTCCGGCAACCGTTGCTACACCAGAAAGACCACAGACAAGATTGAGGGAGCATGACATGTCGACTACTTTTGCTGTGTTTGAGGTCTAAGATGTGTTCCGATAGAAAATCCAGTAAAAATCGTACTCAAAATATTCTTTTGTGCTGTATTTATGTGTGAAAATTACAAAAAGTGATTGTTATAATGATTGCCATGTTATTAGTTAATAAATTGTATCGTTTGTTCCTGTTTTGTAAAAAAAAATTTTTTGAAAAAAATGTCCTAGTTTACTGACGGTACTTATAAGTACCAATATCTGTTTGGGCCATTAAAAATTTATGAAATGAAATTTCCTTCGATATATGCTTTGAATGTGCCAAAAGCAATATAGTAACACATTGTTTAAGTAAAAATCTCATTCAGAACATAATTCCGTAAATAAAGGGTTAAAATTACCCCACAGTATCCGTCGTATCGTCGTAGCCATTTAAAATCCAAGGCATTTTTTTTCACAAATCATTTTCTAGGCTATCGATTAATTTTGATAATTGAAATTCGTATCAAATTCAAGGTAAATACATTTCGTTTTTAATCATTTAAATAATCTTGGACAATATTTTTTTTAAACCGTAGGCGTTACTGGGGACAGTAAACAATCAAGGGGAGACAACTCCAGAGTCAAACAATTAGGCCCACAACTGCCTTAGGTTATAGAAGCAAATCCAAATTGTTTTTAAAAATTATCATTAGAAGAGATGTATTTTAACAATAGTATTAAATTAGCTACTGAATAATAACCCCCCCCTAACGAAGTAGAATATATATGGAGAATATGTATATTTTACGAGTTTCTGCATCCTCCCCCCCCCCCCCAGAGTTTTTTCCAGGCATCTCTCCGAGGGGGGGGGGGGGGGGTAAGTGCCCCCCGGAGAAAAAAGTCTGGAAGAAACACTGCTCCCCCCCCCCCCCTCTAAAATTTCTAGTGCCTCCCTCGGAGAAAAAAAACTCGAGAGGAAACACTGTTTCAAATAGTAGGCCTATAGTTTTTTTTTAACCACATAACACATTATTAAAGTTGACAAACTCGTAAGGACGGCCTAGGGACTGGAGTGGCGTCGTCCCATTTCCAAAAGTCAAACGCCACTTCTTATTTTTCAAATTTAGATCTATTTATTTAATGTTACTGTCTCTGATACTTGATAGTGATATTGTAGAACTGCTACTAAATTTTATTTTTGGCTTCTTTAAATGTGCTTACGGCAATAAAAGTTTAAACTGTTCTGGCCATCGAAAGCCGATCTTCATTTCTGCTAGGCCTAGCGATGAATTGAAAGTCAGGGTCGAGACTGCGTGATATAATATAGTGTGTTTTAATGCAATGTACAAATTAATCATTAATGTGTATACACATCTATCTAGACTAGCTTCTAGATCTATAGTAATAGTAAACTATTCTAATCCTATACTATATTTATGGTTATTATTTAGTACAGGGGTCTCCAAACTACGGCCCGCGAAGTCCTCTCATCCGGCCCGCGGAGATGTTTTTGTCTAAGGAAAAATCTTTTGTTGGTGATGATGACGAAATTTGGACAGAAAAATCAAAGACATGCTTGGAAGAAATTGGCCGTCGAACTGAAATTTGATAGCTAATGCGGCCCTCTGACTAAAAAGTTTGGAGACCCCTGATTTAGTATAATAGTATATAATATCTAGGTAATCTATCGTTTTAGCGTAATCAATTCGGCTGCAGTAGAAATGTGCGGGAGAGGTAACTGATGAATATATTTGTTTAAAAATTATTTAAAATAAGTATAATTTAATTCAAATGTTGCAAAACATAACAGATAATTGATTTAATATAACAATCACTGACCAAAACAATTTAAAATATCATGAAACTAACTTTAAACAAGGTGTTTGAGATAAATATTAGCAGATAAAAACAGCGGCCATCTTTCCAAATAAAATTTAGAGTAGTTTCCCTTGATACACATGTCTATTCGTATGTATATTGTGTTGATTTTTTTGTTGAATATACATAGCTGTCTTGTTTAATAAAAGTGGGACAGAGGGCCGTCTTCTTATCTTTAATTTCAATTGAAATTAAGGCTATGTATGTATGTACATCCAAGATCTCAAAGACTTTTGGGAGGTCCAACATTTATTAAACCCTTTTGTACTGATTAACTTGTCAATTATTAGGTCGTCCGGACCATATTCTTCATAAATGACGTTGGACTCAAAATATGGGACGGTGTAAAATATTTTTTCAAAAATGATGAAGAATATATTCGTGTTCGTTAGAAATTGTGATTAAGGGTTCGGGTATAGTAGAACTGCGATATGATATTAAATCATCATCTTGCTTTTAGTAACTATTGGGTGAGAGGGAAATCGTCGGGAAAAGTATGACGTCATTTATGGGCGATCCATTTAATTAAGCCTAGTTGTTTTTTTTTCTGTAGACATTAGTCTTAGGCCTACACCTTTTCTGAATTAAGATTATTGTGTTTTTTAAAATAGGTTCAAATTTTAATTAGTTACATTTGAATACCACATGGTTTTTTTTTTTTGGTTTTTTTTTTCCTTCAGTTTTTTTATTTCTTCAGTAGTCAATGTTTACCCCTCCCCACCACACATTATTACAACAACAAAAAACCACCCACTATATATGTCATAGCGTAGATATATAGAATTAGACTAGACGAGTAGAGGTTACCATAGGACGGTACGAACTTGACAGCAGACGATTTGGTGCGAGAGTATTGTGCGCGTGTTCAATAAAATTTGTGTGGCGTGAGTGTGACGTGAGCATGGTGCGACAATGTACCGATGACGTAAGACGCAGCAGTGAAGTTAGTTGGGGGTTAGATATAGTAGAAGACGGACGTATTTTTTGATATTGTACAAATGATCTATAAGTGTGTGTTAATAAAGTACATGTTATTTCATAAACGAAGTTGTTGACATTGTTAATTAGTGTCTGCGGAACATAAGAGTGATTCCCGTCCTCCTCACGAGTATAATGGTTGCCGTATGAATAGTAGTAGATCAGAATATATTGAGATTATATATAAATCCCCCCCCCCCCATCACAATATAGTGATATCTCCCTCTAGAAAAAAAAAACTAGATGAACCTATAGTTCGTAGGAAAATTAGAATCTATCACTTAAAAAAAAAGAAATACGTCATTTTTCTAAACCACGCCGTTTCATCCCCCAATAAGCACAACGTCACAAAGTTCGCGGCGCGTGTGACGTCATTTGTCATTAGGCTAATGTTTAAGAAAGAGATACCGCGTAATTAAAAAAAAAATCAAAACAGGCACTAAATGACTATGACGATGAGACTAGCGACATTTAGCCTGACGAATAGATCTAAATGACTTTAGTTCGGTGAATTATATTGGTGTTTAATTTATTACAGTGGCATGATGTTCTCCCTCTACTATACAAATTCACGTGCTTTTAATTTCTGCAACATGCTGCCCTGAGATGTTAGGCTCTAAAATGCCCGTGACACAGCCGCTTCGGTAAATGCATTTAGGCTCCCGGTCCCACCTATAAACGTCTGTCCATTAAGCTCCACTCAAAACAGGGGCCAAGCTCAGGTCTTAAGCTAAAGGTGCTCCGCACTTCATAAAAGACAAAATTGATGTTCAGATATCGTCGGACTCTGGCGTTTTGCCGACGGCCGTACTCCTAATGCACAGTCTTAGAGGCTGTCCACTGCTAACACTATTTTATGTTAAATTTAAGCCAATACTGAGCTGTGGCTTTACATTAGCTCAGTGGCGTAGCGAGGTCGATTGTCACCTGGTGCGGCACTTAATGGTGTCTTGGACTCTTGTCGAATATTGTTGACAGGAGCTACTTGGTTTGAGCCTTATTGTCAGAAGTTATTTCATTTGGAGTCAATATAGTGCGGCTTATTTTCGTCGGTAGGCATTTAGTGGCAGGCCCTTTTTGGCGGGGATGATGTGCTCAGGTTGTTAAACACCGCTTAGGACAACAGGCATGCAATAGTTATGATCATTCGTTATGAACAAATGTATGCATGAAAACGAACGCTTTATGTTCCTCAATTTCATTGAGCACAGCTTTAAAGAAGATTCCAAAATAGACGTCACGCATCCCCCCCCCCCCCCCCGGACCACCCTGCGTAAGTTGACGGCACATTAGCATAGCATATGTGACATCGTTTATGGATAACACCATATAACTCATTTTGGGTATTTGGTATCAACATTTTGACAACAAAGGTTATTCAAAATGTATATAGGACTTGACATCTACCATAAATGACATCGCACACTTAAGGGGTGGAGTAACTGGTTTTCAGACGACGTTTTACGCGGGAAATGGGAGGGGTAAGAAACGTGAAACGTTATGTATTTCGCCAAATACAAAAATGCTGAATATATCGTTTTCATTAGAATTATGGCTTGACTTTTTAACAGGCAGGGCAAAAAGGTAATTTTCGACATTACGACTATTTCGTAACGGCGAAAATGAGGGGGGGGGGGGGTTAAGGTGAAGAAAGGTCAAAAAACGGGACGTCATTTATGATTAAATCACTAATTAAAGGAAAAAAAGCATGAAAATATTACATGAAAATAGCAAACAAACAATAACACAAACAATAAGAATTAACTCAAACTAATATTTAAATAAACATTAGATATGTAGTGGTAGCTCTATAAAAATAGGGAGTATCTTAATGTGTAAAAATTGCATCTCATAATAATAATTCTAGAACTGATGTTTATTGTCAGTCAATTAAATTGTTTAAAGGGCAGAATTAAAAAAAAAAAACGCATGCTTTGTATTTAAACACAAGACTAACGTATTTAATAGCAAACATCAATACATTTCCATACAAATAGAAATTAAAGGGAAATGACTCAAAATAATATTTTCTTAAGATGGCCGCTGTTTTTAATAGCAAATTTAGTATCTGGAACATCGATGTTAAACCTTAATTTCATGACATTTTTATTGATTTAAACCTTAAATGTGGTTTAATATTCAATTATCTTTAGTATTTTAGTAAAATATGCAAAAATATATTCACATCTAAGCCATATTTGATAGTTACCTTATCCCTACATTACTAGTGACGGCCGAATTGATTACGCTAAAGCGATAGATTACCTAATATCTATACTAGATCTGTATCTAGATCTAGATCTAGAATCTAGATTCTAGTTCTAATTACTAATTTCAATCATGCCTTTTAAGTTTAAACATGGAGAGAATTATGATAAAGATTTCATTCAGCTTTTGTGAATATAGCCTACTCTAGAATTAGGACGAATCTCCTAGTTTCTAGATCTATATTTATATCTAATTATCTAGTGTCCTAGATCTATCTAGTATCTAGTACTTAGTACTAGATCTAGTATCTAGATTTGATTTCTAGCTTTAAATTTGTAGCAGTTTAAACTTTTACAACACTAGCCTTAAATAAAACAAAAATGCCAGAAATTAAGCTAACATAAAAAAAAAACCTACAGTACTAGACTAAATCTAGATCTAGACTAGAATCTAGAAAGATCTATTATATTTATTGTGTTGTAAAAAAAAAGTTGTAAAAACTATTACTGTAACTTTAACACCATCAGCCTATAAAATTTATATTAATTTTCTTTTATTTCAGGTCTTTAAATAGTGGACCCTGTTCTATAACTAGTAACAGCCTAATTACTACTAATTAGGCATTAGTGTAATTTAAAATTGCTAGGAAACTAAAAACTATTCAGTGATATCTTAGAGCAAAAAACCTTGTGTAAATTATTGTATGATAAATGAAACTTAAAATTCCTAACATAATCAGGGCTTATTATGAATCAGTAGCAAAGCTGATGCAATTGTTAAGAGATGAATTAACATGAATACAATTAATATATTTCTCTAAATTACTTTCCATCTAGGCCTATAACTTTTACCTTAATTTCCAGTTAGATCTAGATACAAACATTTCTCCCCTGTGTTGCAAACGTTTGACATCTTCAGGTTACATCACAATTATAAGAAACATGTTGTGTTCTTCTTTAATTGTTTGTAATTCATCATAAATGTTGGCATTCTGTAGTTCTATGCTAATGACAGTTTCATCATAAATGTTGTCATTCTGTAGTTCTATGCTAATGACAGTTCCATCATAAATGTTGTCATTCCTGGACAAAGGCTATGGAAGCAAATCCTAAAAGAAAAGCAGGCTGAAATCGGAGTCAATGGCGCATAACCAGTTGACACGTAACGATTAATTGTGTTGGAGGCGTGGTCGAGTCGGCAAAAAAAGCTCATGGTTGATAAATTCGAACAAAGTCTCGAGTTCAAACCCACTGGCAGATAAATCTCGATCCCCTTCAACACTAATAATTATTGAAGAAGAAGAAGTTGTCATTCTGTAGTTATACTGCTAATAACAGTTCCATCATAAATGTTGTCATTCTGTAGTTCTATGCTAATGAAAGTTCCACTATAATTTTATTTCTCTCTCCAGAGCCTGAAGGATCTTCCATAGTGGTGTGTGCTGTCTGGTGATGACTTAAAGTCAAGTGGGGAGTTCAAAGGTCAGCTCCATTATATCTTGTATGTTGGTCTAAGAATGTATTTAACCATAATCTTCTAAAGATGACCCTCATGCTGTATTGTTTTCCACATCATTGACCAGTGGCTATTTAACCATTATCTTCTAAATCTGACCAGCATGTAGGATTGTGTTTCTCTTGAATGGCCAATGGCTGTCTTTATTTATTTTATTGATATAAATTGCTATTTTATTGATTAAGATTTTCAGTTAGGGTTTCTGTCTCTACAAATTATATTTTCATTAAATTGTGTAGTTTTGAATCTTAAAAACCATAACAAACCATAAGCCATTTAATCTGATCACCATAATTTCTTTACAGATGGGTAACTCATCAACAACTACACGAGGTCTAAATGACCACAACAGTATGGCCAGTGGAGAGGATAGTCTAGGTGACCACAACAGTATGGCCAGTGGTGAGGATAGTCTAGATGACCATAACAGTATCGCCAGTGGAGAGGACATCTCAACATATTTTACAGGTAATGTCCATTTGTTTTGGGAAAAATTGGTCCTAATGCTTCAAATGTTTTGTGCTGATGAAGTCCTTATGTTGGAACATTCTGCAGTTTGAAATGTTTAATGGATGAGTATCTTAAGATGGTGATGGTTGAGATGGTTGTGACAGTTGGATGTTGTAGATAGTTTTTATGTTTTATGTTTGTCAAAGTTTAGCAGCTAATAAAATGTTTACAGTAATAAAATTGTTTTGTTTACCTGTACAGGTACACATGAAGTACAAGAATGTCTTGAAGGTCAAGGTGAGGTAGACCTACACACACACCTGGCGAAATGTGAGAAAAATCCTGGCCATAAAAAGTTTGTACCTGTAAATCAGTTAAGTCTTGAACATTTTCCTTCTGGTTACCATGACAACGATGTGTATGACCTCACAAAAGCCCTGGCTGACCTAACTGTCAGGATAGCCGTTAAGTTGACCAGTCCAGACAGACCAGAATTTGTACCTGACACTAAAGATCTATATCCTTGCTACAACACCAGGGGACAGAACTCACTGAGGACAGGGACTGGGAGGGTGTGGTATGTGACCAAGTACACAGAGGGGATGGACCAGACACTCAGGACCTACAGAACTTGTCCATGTCCTGAATGTGACCACTCGGACACACGCAGCAAAGTGTGGTGGGAGGTTGATGTTGTGACAGCCAGACATGTGGTTTTTGATTCAAGAGAGGCGAGACAGTCCAGCTGTAGGTTGTGGTTTGATGATGATAAAAGTCCAGTGGTCAAGATTTATGGGTGGAAGGTGGGTGGGTCAAACACTGAGGGAGACTCCTGTTGGTTGTATTGTGTGACACATGACGTAGATGTAGCTGATAAACTGGAGGAGATGGTGAGGCGGTTTGATGATCTATGGGATAAAGTAGAGGACAAATACAAGAGTCGTAGAGATGTGGACAAGCTGACCATTATATTGTCACATCCTCATGGCTGTTCTAAGCAGGTCTCTGTAGGTCAATGGGTGGACAGGCAGTGGGTGGGAAACTTGACCAGGTACACGTACACAACGTGCACCTGCCCAGGTAGCAGTGGGGCTATGGTCTACAGACTGGGGTGGGGCCAGTGGTCTAACCATCCCCATAGTGGAGCTAACTCTAGTGGATTAAATTATAGTGGAGTGTGGGTGAACTAAGACTTGTAGTTGTCTGCTCTTGTATAGAATGTAAACAAACATGGCGCCTGTTGGATGTCTGCTCTTAAAGTATTTCTTGACATTATTGTAGAGCTTTATTAAACTTTTAATTAATTATCTCGTTATTTTAATCAGAGAAAAAGTTGTTGATTGTTTGATTGTGAGTGGAGAAAAAAATGTCACAAATTTCTTGTAAATATAAACGTAAATAAAGTTTTAAATCAACTCGTTTTCTTTCTCATTTTTGTTTGTTTGAATTTTGGATGTAATGACTCTCAATATTCAATATTGTCGCTAAAGTTGGGATCTAACGACTCTCAATATTGACGCTAAAGTATGAATCTAGCGACTCAATATTGACGCTAAAGTTAGGATCTAGCGACTCTATATTGACGCTAAAGTCTGGATCTAGCGACTCTCAATATTGTCGCTAAAGTTGGGATCTAGCGACTCTCAATATTGACGCTAAAGTTGGGATCTAGCGACTCTCAATATTGTCGCTAAAGTTAGGATCTAGCGACTCTCAATATTGTCGCTAAAGTTAGGATCTAGCGACTATCAATATTGACGCTAAAGTTTGGATCTAGCGACTATCAATATTGACGCGTAAGTCTGGATCTAGCGACTCTCAATATTGATGCTAATTTTGGATCTAGCGACTCTCAATATTGACGCTAAAGTTTGGATCTAGCGAATCCGAATATTAAAGGGACGGAGTGGCCTAGTGGTAGTGAGCTGGACTGCTAACCCGTAAATCTCGAGTTCGAACATGGTCAGTTTTAGTCAGATTTAGTGCCCTAATTAAATGTGATCTTTAAGTCAGATTTGATGCCCTAACATTACATGTTGTCGTGTTGGTATTACACTGTAGATTTGTTGCCCTAACATTACATGTTGTCGTGTTGGTATTACACTGTAGATTTGGTGCCCTAACATTACATGTTGTCGTGTTGGTATTACACTGTAGATTTGTTGCCCTAACATTACATGTTGTCGTGTTGGTATTACACTGTAGATTTGGTGCCCTAACATTACATGTTGTCGTGTTGGTATTACACTGTAGATTTGGTGCCCTAACATTACATGTTGTCGTGTTGGTATTACACTGTAGATTTGGTGCCCTAACATTACATGTTGCCTTGTTGGTATTACACTGTAGATTTGGTGCCCTAACATTACATGTTGTCGTGTTGGTATTACACTGTAGATTTGGTGCCCTAACATTACATGTTGTCGTGTTGGTATTACACTGTAGATTTGTTGCCCTAACATTACATGTTGTCGTGTTGGTATTACACTGTAGATTTGGTGCCCTAACATTACATGTTGTCGTGTTGGTATTACACTGTAGATTTGTTGCCCTAACATTACATGTTGTCGTGTTGGTATTACACTGTAATTTGGTGCCCTAACATTACATGTTGTCGTGTTGGTATTACACTGTAGATTTGGTGCCCTAACATTACATGTTGTCGTGTTGGTATTACACTGTAGATTTGGTGCCCTAACATTACATGTTGCCTTGTTGGTATTACACTGTAGATTTGGTGCCCTAACATTACATGTTGTCGTGTTGGTATTACACTGTAGATTTGGTGCCCTAACATTACATGTTGCCTTGTTGGTATTACACTGTAGATTTGGTGCCCTAACATTACATGTTGTCGTGTTGGTATTACACTGTAGATTTGGTGCCCTAACATTACATGTTGTCGTGTTGGTATTACACTGTAGATTTGGTGCCCTAACATTACATGTTGTCGTGTTGGTATTACACTGTAGATTTGGTGCCCTAACATTACATGTTGTCGTGTTGGTATTACACTGTAGATTTGGTGCCCTAACATTACATGTTGTCGTATTTGTATACAGCTGAGAATTTGATTTGTTTATTTTTACGTTTTAATTGTTTGTCTTTCTTTAAGAAACGAATGAAGTCAGATATTTAAATTTTGGGACGATGAAGTGGGGGGGGGGGGGGGGGGGGGGGGGGAGGGGGAGCTTGTTTGCAAACAGTTATTAAATCAAACTTAAACTACATTTCATTTTTAATTTTCATTCAAATATTTTCTTCTTTGATGTAATTCAGGAATTCAGGTAATATTTCTGAGAAAAAAAAATATTTACAATGACCCATGAAAAACGTCTACCGTCCAGTGTTTCTTCCAGACTTTTTTCTGAAGGGGTTGGGGCACTTAAAATGTTCGGGGGGGGGGGGGGGGAGGGACACCTAAAAAAGTATATATTTTCTATATTAATTCCCTTTTGTTCTGGGGGGGGGGGGGTTATTTTTTTCGGCGGGGCTCCATCACCCCGGAAGAACCTCTGCTACCCCCCCCCCCTCCTAGAACGAAACATACTTTATATAGAAGATATATACTATAACTAGTCTCCGCCCCCCCCCTCCTAGAACGAAACATACTTTATATAGAAGATATATACTAGAACTAGTCTCCGCCCCCCACCCCCGAGATATTTTACTTATAACTTGGGGTAACAATAAATGCTTGATTTCATATTTACTTTATATTTTTTTTTTAAACTTTAATTATTAACTTTGCCTTGGGGGTCATCCATAAATGACGTCACGCTTTTTTTGACGATTTTTACCTCCCCCCCCCCTCCCCACCGTCACACGTCGTCACAAAAAGCCAGACCCCCCCTAAAATGACGTCACAGCTCAACCTACAACCCCCCTCAAAATTGCAGTTGAATTTTTTAAAAACATCGATATTTTTCCAAAATCTTGTCTGAACTATTACAATTTATTAAAACAGTTATCTAAAACGCGAAATAACGTCTAAAATTCGTTTTCTAACATTGCTTTTTTATAATGCAAAAATGTGACGTCGCAACATCTGACCCCCCCCCCCCTCCCCCTCATCACACATCGTCACAAAATTACGGACCCCCCCTCCCCCCTACGAGTGTGACATCATTTATGGATGACCCCTTGGAGGTCAGTACAATGTGTTGCATTAATGTTTAAAATAAATTTTAAATAATTCAACATGTTGAGGCTTAATCAGCATTTCCATGTTACAGATGGTGCAGTTCAACTATCTGCTAACCCAGGTGTGATAGACCTGGGTCTGACGTCATTCACCGTTAGGTGTGACGTCATTGACCGTTAGGTGTGACGTCAACCAGACCAGCCAGCTGAACATGTCCGCCATTTTGTCCATCATCGTATCACGTGATGCCAACAGTTCCAGCCCCTACACAGAGCTGGCCTCAGTGGTCACGTTTCTAGGTCAACGGGTCAATGTCCTGTCGTCAGAAGGTCTCACAGCCAACGGTTCCATTCAACCCACTGGTCACTCTTTTCTGGAGCTACACTGGGACCACCCAAGAGATTTGCAGGCTGGACACTACTTGTGTACAGTGCAAGGTCCAGATGTTGTTTGACATAACATCGACTGGATGGCTGGAACTGACGTCACACCTAGACATCCTGCCAACGACGTGCTCCTGGACAAGATACAGAAACTAGATCAGAACTTGAAGCTGGCCAATGAAAAACTCAGGACTTGAAGCTGTCCAATGAAAAACTCAGGACTTGAAGCTGGCCAATGAAAAACTCAGGACTTGAAGCTGGCCAATAAAAAACTCAGGACTTGAAGCTGTCCAATGAAAAACTCAGGACTTGAAGCTGGCCAATGAAAAACTCAGGACTTGAAGCTGGCCAATGAAAAACTCAGGACTTGAAGCTGTCCAATGAAAAACTCAGGACTTGAAGCTGTCCAATGAAAAACTCAGGACTTGAAGCTGTCCAATGAAAAACTCAGGACTTGAAGCTGTCCAATGAAAACCTCAGGACTTGAAGCTGTCCAATGAAAAACTCAGGACTTGAAGCTGTCCAATGAAAACCTCAGGACTTGAAGCTGTCCAATGAAAAACTCAGGACTTGAAGCTGTCCAATGAAAAACTCAGGACTTGAAGCTGTCCAATGAAAAACTCAGGACTTGAAGCTGTCCAATGAAAAACTCAGGCAGTTGAATGTTTCCTTCACAAATCTTGGCCAAGACATCGCTAACGTGAGCCAGACATACTGACATGAGACCCGGGGCATACAACAGGACCATACGGTCTGCGCGAGAACAACTTGATGTTTAGGCAAGATAGAGAGAGACATATTGCTAGAAATTTGATGTTTATGTAAGATAGAGAGAGACATATTGCTAGAAACTTGATGTTTAGGCAAGATAGAGAGAGACATATTGCTAGAAACTTGATGTTTAGGCAAGTTAGAGAGAGACATATTGCTAGAAACTTGATGTTTAGGCAAGTTAGAGAGAGACATATAGCTAGAAACTTGATGTTTAGGCAAGATAGAGAGAGAGACATATTGCTAGAAACTTGATGTTTAGGCAAGATAGAGAGAGACATATTGCTAGAAACTTGATGTTTAGGCAAGATAGAGAGAGACATATTGCTAGAAACTTGATGTTTAGGCAAGATAGAGAGAGACATATTGCTAGAAACTTGATGTTTAGGCAAGTTAGAGAGAGACACATAGCTAGAAACTTGATGTTTAGGCAAGATAGAGAGAGACATTATGCTAGAAACTTGATGTTTAGGCAAGATAGAGAGAGACATATTGCTAGAAACTTGATGTTTAGGCAAGATAGAGAGAGACATATTGCTAGAAACTTGATGTTTAGGCAAGATAGAGAGAGACATATTGCTAGAAACTTGATGTTTAGGCAAGTTAGAGAGAGACATATTGCTAGAAACTTGATGTTTAGGCAAGTTAGAGAGAGACATATAGCTAGAAACTTGATGTTTAGGCAAGTTAGAGAGAGACATATTGCTAGAAACTTGATGTTTAGGCAAGTTAGAGAGAGACATATAGCTAGAAACTTGATGTTTAGGCAAGATAGAGAGAGAGACATATTGCTAGAAACTTGATGTTTAGGCAAGATAGAGAGAGACATATTGCTAGAAACTTGATGTTTAGGCAAGATAGAGAGAGACATATTGCTAGAAACTTGATGTTT